GACAATAGCTGGAGATTCTGTGTTGATTACCGCCATCTCAACCATATTACCAAGAAAGATGTCTATCTCCTACCGCGCATAGATGATGCACTCGATTGCTTGCACGGTGCCAAATATTTCTCTTCAATAGACCTTCGCTCAGGCTACTGGCAGATCGCTGTGGACGACAAAGACAGAGAGAAGACGACCTTCATTACTCCTGATGAACTTTATCAGTTCAAGATGATGCCGTTTGGATTATGCAATGCCACCGCGACATTTGAGCGCATGATGGACTCTCTCCTTCGAGGCATGAAGTGGACCATGTGCCTCTGCTATCTTGACGACGTTATTGTTTTTTCGACTACTTTCGACGACCATCTTACCCGTCTGTCCACAGTGCTTGATGTTTTTCGACGTGCCAACTTGCAACTTAACTCGTCCAAATGCCGCTTTGGGGAACGCCAAATCTGCGTACTCGGCCATCTTGTTAACGCTGCAGGCTTTCAACCAGACCCTGTGAAAGTCCGAGCAGTTCGCGACTTCCCCACACCCCGCTCAGCCAAGGACGTCCGAAGTTTTCTGGGACTGTGCTCCTATTTCCGTCGTTTTGTCGAGAAGTTTGCTGAAGTAGCCCGTCCTCTAACCTGCCTCCTCAAAACGGATGTCGCATTCACGTGGGACCAGCAGCAAGCAAACGCCTTCTCGTCGCTCGTTGACATTCTCACCAATCCACCAGTCCTAGCACACTTCGACCCATCTGCCGCCATAGAGCTTCGTACTGACGCCAGTGGCCACGGCATAGGCGCAGTGCTGGCACAGCGGCAATAAGGCATGCACTGCGTCGTCGCGTATGCAAGCCGATTGTTGTTGCGCTCGGAAAAAAAATATTCCATCACAGAACGCGAGTGCTTAGCTCTCGTCTGGGCCATTGCGAAATTCCGACCGTACCTGTATGGCCGACCATTCTCAGTTATTACGAACCACCATGCGCTTTGCTGGCTCTCTTCACTCAAGGACCCAACGGGACGCCTTGGTCGCTGGGCTCTGCGCTTACTAGAGTACACTTTTTTCGTATCCTATAAATCCGCACAACTTCACAAGGATGCCGACTGCTTGTCCCGTTACCCAGTCGATCCCCCTGACACGAGGGAAGATGAACAAGAGGCCCTCGTTCTTTCAATTACCGACTTCACCGACACAGCTGCTGAACAACGCCGCGACCCCTCTTTGCGCGCTATTATCAATGGTTTGCACTCTCCCCACCCTGACTACTCCTTACAACTGTTCGTTCTTCACAACGACATCTTGCACCGCTATAACGCCCGCCCTGATGGTGCTGAGCTTTTACTCGTTCCTGTGCATCTTCGCTCAGACGTTTTGGCCCAGCTGCCCTCCGCTGGACACCTAGGGGTGCCACGCACATATGACCGCAATCGCCGCCGATTCTTTTGGCCTGGCCTCTACCATTCTGTGCTACAGTACGTTGCGGCATGCGACCTCTGCCAGCGCCGCAAGACACCTGCTCTGAGACCTGCTGGTACCCTTCAGCCCATTGAAGTACCAGATCAGCCATTTTTCCGTGTCAGCCTCGATGTTCTAGAACCTTTTCCCGTGTCGGCCACCGGTAATAAGTGGATCGCTATTGCTACCGACTACGCAACGCGGTATGCCGTTACACGCGCCATCCCCACCAGCTGCGCTACTGATGTAGCCGATTTCCTTCTTCATGACATCATTCTGCGTCATGGTGCTCCTCGTCGGTTGATAACCGACCGCGCCAGCTGTTTTCTATCTAAAGTAGTCGACGAGCTCCTGCGATCCTGCTCTACCCCTCACAAGTTCACTACAGCGTACCATCCGCAAACCAACGGCCTCACGGAACGCCTCAACCGTACCCTGACGAATATGTTAGCGATGTACGTCTCCAAGGATCACAAAGATTGGGACATCCACTTACCTTTCGTTACCTTCGCATACAACAGTTCACGTCATGATACAGCTGGATTTTCACCTTTTTACCTACTGTTTGGTTATGACCCGCTTTTGCCCATGGACACCATGCTCAAATCTGACGCCTCCTCATCGACTGCTTATGCTCGTGATGCCCTGGCCCGAGCTGACATCGCCCGCCAAGTCACCCGAGCTCGTTTATGTGCCTCGCAGCTTAACCAAAAGAGTGCTTAAGATCGCCGGCACCGCGACGTACAGTACTCTCCGGGGTCACTCGTCTTGCTGTGGTTACCATCACGTCGTGTTGGTCTCTGCGAAAAACTGATGTCCCGTTACGTTGGCCCCTACCGTGTCATACGCAAGGTCACCAGCGTGACCTATGAGATAGCTCCACTCCATACCACGTCAGTACCAGCTTCAGTTCCGACCGATATAGTGCACGTCTCACGGCTTAAACCATACTACTCACGCCTAGAGAATTGATTGCACCGGGACGGTGCTTCTGCCGCCGGCGGGTAATGTCACGGGCTAAGTAGATGCCTGAGGATGACGACGACGAAGTGCTAAACGTGACCGTGCTCGGACTGCAGCAGCGTTGTACGCATTAGCTCGCCAGTATATCCGCCAGTACGCATTTGCTCGCCAGTGTATACTTTATTCCCCGTAATAATATAATATATTCAGGTGAATGTGAAAGGTGAGAGAACAAGAGCAGTGGATTGGCGATAGCCTACTTAGGGAGCGAAAACCGAAGTTACAATTACTTATTCATCACGTTTACAATTTGTTGTTGGAAATCTTGACCCTGTAGCTGTACAGTGAATGTAAAGGAAGTTTTGCTCAACCGTAGTCGCCTATAGCAACTAAAGTGTCTCGCACACTCACTATAGCTTCACTCCCATATTAAGACGTTGTGGTATTCTAATACTAGCTCTCGAGGGTGGTCGAGTAGTTATGGCGGTCGACTGTTGATCTGCAGGTCACAGGATCGTTTCCCGGCCGTGGCGGCCGTACTTTTGATGGAGGCGAAAATGGCAGGATATCCACGGAGTGAATGATGGAGAGTGGGGCGAAGCATTCGTCCGTCCATGTGTCCGTCTGTGTGACCATCCATGCGTCTGTTCGTGCGCCCGTCCCTGCGTTCGTTCATGCATCCGCCCCTGCGTCCGTTCATACATCCATCCATGCATCTGTCTGTGTACACAGTCCATTCGTCCATCTATTCAACACTCCAAGTCCCACCATCTCGCATCGTTTTATCATATATTCTCCATATAGAAGCACCGCCATTCAGTGGACATTCCAAGGACTAAACGAGAGGCGGCACACGCACACTTTCTTACGGCTTGCGCTTCGGGTCTACTTCCCACCTTCAAACACCTTGAGTTCATGGTATATACTATAGTTCACTGTATTCATGGCACTGCGGCCCAATGCTCGCTAAACCTTTCTAAAACCAAGGAGGTTACGCCCAGCGAGTATAACGTAGCAACCTTTTCCTGTCAGAGAGTGCTCAATGTACATGCCAGTGGCTGCTAATATGAAATGAAAGACAGGAGGATTCAGCTTTTAATTTCTTACGGCTAGCGCTTCGTATCTGCTTCCCCCCTTTAACCACCTCGAACTAATTCATGGTATATACTAGTTCATTGTATTCATGGCCCTGCGGCTCAACGCTCGCTAAACCTTTCTAAAACTAAGGAGGTTACCCCGAGAGCTTTAACCTCCCGGTGCCATCGGGGGTGGGCCCCCAGACGGTACCCCCTGACGGGGGCATTCTCGTCTTCTCAGGACCAAATAAAGTTCTTTGACTGACTGACTGACTGACCCAGCGAGTATAATGTAGCAACCCTTTCTTGTCCGATAGGGCTCAATGTACATGCCAATGGCTGCTAATGGGGATCGCAGCGTGCGCGTTGACTAAAAGCCGAATGCTCCTGTCTCTCATTCCCCATTAGCAGCCATTGGCATGTACATTGAGCACTATATTTTATTCTTAAACAACCCACAGAAGAAATATCTCACCAGCACCACCTTGGAGGTCAAATGTTAGACCTATTTCGGGTATGTGCCGCTGGTGGTTACGTACTACGAGGGACGCCCAAGCCACGCCATAAGGAGGAACACGAAAGGATACAACTCATTTTTCGACCGACTTGGTGCTAAGCAGCGCCCGTTGAGTTGTTATATATGATTTCAATTGTTACAAATTGTGTTTCATTTGGATCTATTGTATCGTTATACCCTTGTATCGTGATATTACATTGAATTTTTGTGTACATGTATGCCAACATAATCATGTATATTAGAGCAAATGTCTTCACTGCAATGTAGTGATGTTAGTCGTGAAATATAGATGTGCCGAAGTGTATGCGCCCTGTTACTGGAATGGTATGAAGCCTTTGTGTTCTGTACATGCTGTAAATAAACTTTTTCTAGACAAGGAGCTTCGCCCCTATTCGGTGTTACGTGACGTCAATTGATGACGAATGTATGTGACTGGTGCAAACATGATAATCATGAGACGCGGGTTATGTAAGAGCATGACGACCTAGCACGCTCATAGTGTGCTTGCGGTCATTTTTCTAGCTCCACATACATTAAATTTGGCATCACGTGACGTGAACAGATGAAGAAGGTAAACGACACATCCAAGCATGATAATCATGTCACGGAATTCATGTATGGCATAATTTACCTCCACCTCTTAACATCGTGTTGATTTGAAAGTAGCATATCAACCTTCCTCATTCGTGTTTCGCATATCATTGATTTCCATTGTACGTGGAATCTGCCAATTTTTCCATCACACGATAACCCTTTTCAGTTACATCAGATAACATTTGAATCTGAGCCCAAAAGCGGAAAGGACTTGCACTGCTTCACTCAGTATACAACATAGGACTTAGCATACGCGTGTTCGAAGCGAGTGGGTGTGACACAATGAACATTTTCAAAGCTTAAGTGCTTAGTCACCCGGACAAGCTGTGAAGATACTTCATTTGTTAGTGTTGCTGCTCACAGTTATTTTCACCGCCATGTTCAATACTCCTAAAGATAACTCTCACCATCTTTAGTGCCCAGTGTGTGGTCTTTCTCCAACCTGCTCAGCCGGGACACGGTGTAGCCTTTGTGTCGGTACCACTGCGCGTAGGCAAGGCCTCTGCTGTTGTACCAGTTGCACATGTCTTCCTCGAAGGAACAGCTGCCTGCTGTAGCACAAGGCGTGTCTCCAAGTGCAATGTCGTCGACGGCTACGGCAGTGCTGGGGTCACCGGAAGTTTCCCCGTCGAACACGGTCTGGTCGGAAGAAAGGCGTAACAATATGAAACCGGTTTGTTGAAACCGGACCAGAAGCAACAGAAGTCAGGTTATGAGGCACAGAATACTATACAGAAGCCCCCTTTAATTTTGGCGCTGGGAGGCAACATATACGACAGTTGAACTGCGTTTGACGTGTACCTGAATTGGACTGCAGATGTGTGTCTGGGTTCCGCTCATGACTCATATTATTACAATATTATTATTATTATTATTATTATTATTATTTTATTATTATTATTGTTGTTGTTGTCATTGCAATACTGTACTTATAAGAGCAAAACTGGCAATGTGAGCATCTCGCGTTCTATTTCACGGATATACGAAGGTCACAAACTTTTCTTTACATAACCTTAAAACTATGGTATATAAAATTATGACACAACCATAATAGGTACCTTCAAATAACTGTAGCTGTATACGTCAAAAATGCTGACTTTATTTTTTTTTTAATTTTCAGTGAGGACCATTGTATGACATATTAGCAGATTCACCTGAAGCAAGCGAAAACACCTCGCCAAACACTGAATGAAAGGAATATTGTCTCGACGTAAGTGCACCACTTACGAAAACATCTCCTTGATGTCCACTAAGGTTGACCGCCGCAGAATACCAGAGCTTCAATGGCGTGTCCTTTGCTGTTTGAAACCACAGGGACTCCTCGTGGTTATTGTTTAGTACCCGGCTTACGTTAAGAGTCTCAGACCCGGTGCCGGTGAGGAAGAACCAGAAGCGAAGACACTTGTTTTGTGTCGTATCGAACCAGCCCTGGGGGCTTACCATGCGCCCTCCTGGAGACTTTACCAAGGCAAAACTACCTGCAGGTTTACCAAAAAAAACGAAATGTTGATGACGTAATGTTTTACCTCAAAGAACTTTATACCATTGCACGTAAAAAAAAGGACATGTTGAGGCTAATACGAAACCTATAATTACTTTTGACGTATAAATGTAAAAAAATTACAAAAAATCGACGGAGTGATTGATGACGATTGGGGCGTAGCGTCCGTCAGCCCGTCCGTGCTTCTTTCCGTCCACGCGAACATGCGTGCGTCCATTCATCCGTCCATTCGTCTGCTAGCCTGTCTATTTGTCCGTCGGTTAGTACATCTAAAGAACACTCCAAGTACCGCCGTTTCTCGTCTCGCATTCCCTGTGGCACATACCCGCTCTAGAGTGGGTATGTGCCACCAGTAGCTACTTCTACTACACACATACATACAAGAGTGGACATACCCACGCCTTCAGGAGCTTCGCCCCTAAAAACTAATTAGCATTCTCTTCTATACGCACACCAAAAGGGAAATGATCACGAAAAGGTATTAAGACGGACTTGAAATTATCGCTATTCGCAATATACACAATGTTTTAACTCTCCGATGACGTGAAATACGAATGCTTATTACACGGCAGGAATTCAAAGTGTTACACCACTTTATTGTACTCCGTATATCCTTCCCTGTGACTGAGAAAGGGCACAAAAGTACATTTCAGAGGTTACCCAGTCACAGCTGAATCATCGGCAATGAACGGGCTGATCAAGCTGCCTACTCAGCCCACACAGAAGATAATAAACTACGACTACCACTTTCTAAGACAGATGCTGCACGAAAGCTCTGCAGGCTTGCTCGCCAACAAACCACATCACAATGGAATCAGCCACACTTCAATCATGCCCAACTGTACTCGCTTGACCCTACGCTAAGTCTTCAAGCCCCATTGAGGCTTTGCCGAGCAGACCAGACCCTGTTTTGTAGGCTGTGGTTGGGCGTTGCGTTTACCAACGCCTACGATTTCCGCATTGGGATGGCCGACACTGCAGCCTATGGCCACTGTGGCAAAGAAGGAACGATCCAACATATTCTTTGTGACTGCCTAGAGTCTAGTAAACAACGATTATGCCTTCGCAAGGAACTCGGTAAATTAGATAATCAACCTCTGTCGGAGCAAGGAATTCTACAATATCGACAAGATGCAACTTCGCAGAAGAAGGCCCAGAAAGAGCTACTACACTTTTTGCGATCGACCGGCCTTACTGAACGGTTGCAGCTAGGACGTCCTTCCTGTGTGTGTTTTCGTTTTCACATGAGTGCGCGTGTGTTTTCTTTTTCTTCGCTATCTACCCCCTCTTTCTTGTTCCCTATTTCCCTGCCCCCCGCGCTGGGTAGCAAACCAGATGCCAATATCTGGTTAACCTTCCGGCCTTTCCTTTCTCTCTCTCTCTCTCTAATGTTTTCTAGAAAGAAGGATTACCATTTCGTACAAGGTCATTACCCTAGAAGCCCCTGTAGGTTTACGGTTTTTAACTAAAATAGGGAGTTTTCGAATAGCGTGTGCTAAGAAAACATTTTTGCGGTGATCCCGTATTTCCATCACTTAGCGGGAGCCTGCAAGGGCGGAGCGTGCGATGCTTGCGCAACGACGCCAAATGCTAACGCAATCCTTTGCATATGCTCCTTCACAAAAGTCTATAAACCTAATATTCTTTTACTTAGGAAGTAATGCATTTTTGGAATACATCACGGGGATGTCTGAACGAGATTTTACATTGCATATCTCACCTGAAGGTGTTAGAGTGCTGCGGTCTACGAGAGGTAATGCGACAGTGTTGCTTTTTGTCAGTTCCCAGTTATGAAACTGCCAACCACACCTGCCAGACTCGAAGGTGCACACTGTCGAAAAAGAAGAAGATTCAACAGTGAAAAAGGCAAGTTTTAGAGTGTGTGCTTTGTGTTCACCTAAATTCTGAAATTTATATAGTTAACGATTCAGTCATAATCGACAAAACACCTGCCTGAAAAATTTCTATCTCTGTATAGAGAGGATCAATTTGTTATAAAGATATATTCACTCTGCTATATTTTCAGCCAACAAATTATTTGAAACATGAATTCCTGGAGAAGAGTCCGCAGTCAACTTCTCGATATGTACCTCGGTGAAAAAAAAAGTAGGGGCCGAATCAGAAGAACCACAAATCACATACGCTGTTCATTCGACGGCATGAACTGTCGTGTAGTAATACGGCTGCTGTGCTCATTATCTCACTGTTGATCTAGTAATGTACTGTCATTGTTACTGCTTCTCCTAAGCTTTATGTGTGGTTAATAAATAATTTCTTGTACAATTTTTCTCCTTATTTACATAGTACAATATTGAGATGGGTTTGAGAAACACTAACCTAATTGTCACTGTAACCAGCTGTAACCTTATTGAAGTGTAGATGTGACATAGATGTATAGGCTTCATTCCACGCAATATTCAACACTACGCGATATCCCGTACAAGCGAACTTCATATCAGGAGACAACCTAAATATTACTGCTTTTTGCTGATACAAAATACCTATTGCTTTAATATTACCTCTAATATTCTAGGAATTTATAATGAGAGTGCAAACCTTTGTTGGTGTCACATGGACCATCCTTGAGGGTGAAAAGATCAATGGCCACTACGCCAGGTATGTTCGGTTTCAGGACAGCCTCTATGACCAGCTGTGGCGAAAAGACGAAAACCAATAATGAAAAGAAAATTGAGCTAAAATATGTATACCAAATGTTAGTGCCTCTCAAAGAGCAAGAATTTTAACAGGCAACTGTCGTTAAACCCTGAAGGCGGCGTCAAAAAATTTTTAAACTAACAGGTGCCTTTCGCTGTTACATCGAGGACAAACAAAAATAGATCATATGCTTCAACATACACTCAGAAATGTGTTGTTCAGAAGAAAGACAACTATGCCAATCATGAAACGAAGCGTTTGTGTAATGTAGCTTCAACTGAAATTCAGTACGATGTCATTCGTTGTCTGCCATTCCAGCAATCATGATCACTTATGAAAAGTAAAGAAAACATTTCCTATGTCACATTGTGTTAATTGTATTCTTTCGTTCACTGAACGTAAACATATGGCAATAAAAAAACAGAATACTCCAGATATGTCAAAGCGCGTCAATTTTTGAAGACATGCATCTTGTAACTGCTTAGAGATGAAAGAGGTTCCGTCCAGATAGGCTAAGTATGCTTAGCTAAGTAGACAGAAGGAAGAAGAAAGTGAGCCCGCTGAAAAATCAACAACACGGAATGAAATATCTGTGAGAGGAAGCTGTCGAACCAGGGTAACGACGGACAGGTAGTGTGTGTCGTTGCCATTCACTATCCAGGAACGCAAGTAGAACAAGAATTTATGGGAACAACATAATTACGTTTCTACTTGCATTACTACAATAAAAAAGAGAGAAAAGAAAAATATAGCAAAAGAAAGGGACAGAGAGAAGTAGAGGGAGACTGAAAAAGAGCAACTTCCTATGACTCAAATAGGCTATTTAGGGCTCAATTGCTGCTCTCTGTGCTAAACTTAGCTAGTAAGCTGAGGACGCTCACACAGCTCCACTGTTCTTTCATGCTTGGCACAGTCAATGCAAAAGTGCCCTATTTTTAAATGCGAATGCATTTCTTAATCGGGCTTTGTCGGGCGTCCAGTGATGTCCACGCACCGTCAGTTATATCTCGACTGCCACTCCATCCTCCACAGCATCAGCTGCAAGCGCGCGCTCTGATCCTCCTCGCTAGCAATCGGAGCAGGTTATGCGGGCGGAGTAGTGGAGAGCGAGTGGAGAGGAAGAGCGCGCTTTGGCTTGTGAGGACGCTCCCATCGTGGAAGTTCCCATGTGTGTAGACGCAGTGTATAAGAAGGTAGGTGCAGTGTTCTACCCCTCCTTCTCTCGCCATTCGCTATCTCTCCTTCGTGCGACCCACTCTCTCGTCTGCACACTCATACGTATATTTAAGTGAAGTGAAGCACGCGCCTCAATTTCGATCATTCTTAGGCCGATGAATGTGTAAATAAATGGTTACTGTACAAATCCTCGTCTCATCAATAATTTTTGCTATTGAAATTACTACGCTGGTACTCTTGGCGCAAAAATTGCATTCGTATTTTTCTCACGATTCCCCTCAAGTAGGTGAGGGTAATTTTTTTAGTGGACCATGGGTTGTCCAATTTTTGTGGCACATACCCGGTAGGCCATGCATAGTCCTCTCGTCTATTATATTACTGTCATGCAGGAGGGCAGAGTGCCTTGAGCATTATCCGTAGTGCATGCCCACTGAAAGCTGCATCACGCTCAGTGTCAACATTCTTGACTCTAAGCCGAAGCTCTGTCAATAACCTTTCTAGCAAACATAAATAACCTGCACCTGAGGTAACCTGAAGGAACATGATCGACTAGAATATTTTTAATCACTCTCCTAGCAGCTGTGTACGTCAATAGATAATTAATTAGGGTTGAAAAGTGTCAAAAATGATACTTTTTTGTGAAGCAAAATTCGCTCAGCTTTCGGTGCATTGTTAAGCTAAGCACTACCAGACACCTCCAAAAGCATAATTCGTAACTCAACCATGAGGACGATTCACTTGAGTAAAAATTTACGGATAGGTCAAATGGTCATTCGTTAATAAGACACATGCTTACGCACTTGGCTGTGCCTCTAGGCTTCTCAAAACCTATTTAGCTACAATCTACCAGTACTGCTTACGAAAGCGGAGTGTAACGTAAGAAAGATTAGAGGTGGATATCAAGATCCGCCTATATATTAGTGTTTTTCCTTATCATCATGCGTAATACAAAATATTTTACAAATCTATTTTGGTGACCACATTTTATTGATCATTAGGGTAACTGCACTATACTGTGCCTCGTGACATGTGCCTAATACCCGTGTCGCACGGGTGTTTGGAGACCATCGAATCGACGTTTCATTGCCTAATATAAAAATCAGGAACTGCCACACGGGTGGTTTCGAAGATAATTGAGTCAATAGTTCGTCGAGTCAGCGGAGCACTTCACAACTACACTGTAGCTTTGGTGGCCTTTGAGTGACCAAAGTTGAAACAGCGCGAACATACCCTCTTGTTTGCACGGTGCTCGTAGATGAGATTTGAAAAATTTAAGCTAAGCAGTATGCTTTAAATGCAGTATATGTGAGTGATGGAGATATTGTTAAAGTATTTTTGCGACCTTGAATGTGAGAGCTGCACATACTCTCAGTCACAGCCACATAGTTGTCCTAAAGGTACATTAAAAGCAAAACGAGTTTCCACGCATTAAAAAGTAAAGTTTCACAATTCCAAAAACAATACTCTCACCGCAACATGATACTTTGGTATGTGAGAAAACGAGTGAAAAAAAATATGGGTGGAGAGGCCACCGTATGATTCCCACTCCGAAGACCATGACGTAGTATACTTTGAAGGCATCTATCCGATCCTGCAGAGCTGATCTGACCGATAAAAATGAAGTACACTAACATCCGCGCGTGCCATAGACGTAGCGCACGAAGTTTAGCAAAATTTCATAGATTCTATGTCGCGGAAATACAAAAAGTACATTTTATAATGCGTTACAATACGCCCGGAAATTTCAGCACGAAATTTAAAAACAAAACTTTCACTTTAACTTTTTCCGTTAATAATAAACTTATGACGGTAACACTTATGACGCTAGATTTCTCAAAGTATAGATTGTAAATCTAAACCAAGCCATTGTTACTCCTTAATGTCCCTTTAAGCGACGTGTCTCGCTGTGTATCGTAGGCCACAGTGACACTGCTTAACAACTTAAAAGCTAACTATGCTTCAAAATTTATTGAAATATCTAAACAATATCAAAGCACTTATTTCAGCTTTTAAGCGAACTCATATCACTGAAATCTAGGTGTACTATACTATGATTATAAAGATGCAGAGCCCCAACGCCTTTTGCGGGGAACTTCTGAACGGCTCAACCCCTGTTCAAAACTGCCGTTTAGCAGCCCCATGACTACATTGAGCCAATAGAATTCGGACGTTTCGAAGACCATCGGCAAGATGGCTCTTCAAAAGGGCCTGGGTCACAAAGACTGAGTGGAATAGAACATGGCATGTAATACGTGAAATCTGGCTAGTTGGTGCACCATACCTAAATTTACTTGGTCCGAAAGTAGGCACGACAACACAGGAAATGGGGGACAAGCGGAGTCCTCGTCTTTTTTGTGCTGTTGTGTCTAGAACTGCACTGAGCTGCTTTTGTAAATATCACTGCACATACGATTTGAAATATCTCAAAGGCATGTCTTCCAGCTGGGTCACGTCACCTCTATGTGACTGACATTTTGTAAACCATAGGGTGAATGAGTGATACATCAAGCTACCTAATAAACGGGATTGTTGAAGATGAATCCCATGATTGACTTAGTGTAGAAGTCTGGGTGTGCAGGTGAAACATTGCAAGAAAGAGAGAGCAAGAAAAGACGCTGAAAAAGAAGGGCAAGGCACACAGTGCTGCATGAAATCAAACCGCGTTCTTAGGACACACAATATAACGAATCGCGAAACTTCTTGAGCTATATTTTGATGTACACGTGGTTGATAAAAAAAAACTTCGAATCTATAGTGAAATAAACAAGGTGCGATGGCTCTTTATTGAATTTCTGTACCACTAGAATGTTGCTTTTATGGCTTGAAAAAACAAAAGCGCAGGTTCTAGCAGCTGAATGGCATGGCCACCTTATGTTAATTGTAGTTCTTCAACAATGCCACCAGGCCGGCAATGAATACCTTTGAGGATATGCAATCGGTGACTACAGAACCATTGAGACAAGGCTTCATTTCACACAAAAAATTAGTGACACTGAATGACTAAGCAGCTCTTTATTTGTGCACACCGACCTTGTCTTGGATAGCAGTATAACGGACGTTAGGGCAAGAGTCCCCTAAAGCATCAAGACAATATCAGCCCTTTTCTTGGCACTGAAACTTAGGCTTAAGTAATCGTGCTGTTTTGCAAAGCACAGCCCAGATATTTGTTCAGTTTTATCATGTCCATCAACTGTAAATCCAGAGGCAATCCAGAGATGTACCACCGATTCTCGACAAGCTTTTCATATGCCACGCCATACAGCTTTTTCCAGTTAAATCACCATATATCCTGAATTCGTGATCTCTCTTTACTACAAATGTGTAAAATCACCTGAGTTTCGGCCGGATATGATATACATCTTATGACAACTTATTTCACAATGATGCCTAAACATGCCTAAAATACTGAGTTCTCTATCTTGCATCTTGCCTTCAAGAGATAGCCAGACCTGTAACCTACACAAGTAAAAAAAACAAAAAAAAACACATTAAGGCTTTACTACCAATAAGTTCTGGCAAACAGAAGCTTAAAAGCGTTGAAAACTAGTACCTTTTCAAATGCCTCTTACCAGGTCATTTGTGGCGAATGCGCATCACTTTCTACACCTTGTAATTTTACAACCATTCAGAGAAACCACTTATTGTTTTATGATATGCACATACTAACGACATATAAAATGATGTCACAAAACGAGCGCTAAAAAGAGCGCGCCGCCAAATTCTTGCGACAACGGGCGGGAGAAACGCCGCGAAGTCAAAAGAAAAAAAAAGAAAGAAAACGTCCAAGGCTCCCCGGGCGCGCGCTCTCCCCGCGGAAGC